TAAAATCTGTTGAAACACACCATGAAGTTTTGAGTGAGGCTTTTCCTGGGGACAGTGTGGGCTTCAGCATCAAGAACATATCTGTCCAAAACATTCATTGTTCTGTCATTGCTGATGACAGCAAAATGACTCACCAATGGAAGTAGCTGGTTCTGCTGCTCAGGTGATTACCCTGAGCTGGACCATCCAGGTCAAATCATTTTTGAAATCTGGCAACGCTGCCATTGTTGATATGGGCCCAGACAAGCCAATGTGTGTTGAGAGCTTCTCTGACTATCCTCCTCTGGGTTATTTTACTGTTCAAGATATGAGACAGACAAAGTTGCTGTGGGTGTTATCAAAGCAGTGAACAAGAAGGCTGCTAGAGCTGGCAAGGTCACCAAATTTGCCCAGAAAGCTCTGAAGGGTATCATCCCTAACACCTGCCACCCCAATCTTAATCAGCGGCGGAAGACCGGTCTCAGAACTGTTGTCTCAATTGGCCATTTAAGTTTCATAGTAAAAGGCTGCTTAAGGACAACAATGCATCATAAAATCTTCAGAAGGAAAGAAGAATGTTTTGTGGACCATTTCATTTTTCATGTGTGTGGCAGTTTTAAATTATAAGTTTTTTTAGGTCAATACTTTTTAATGGAAACAACTTGACCAAAAATGCATCACACAGTGTTGAGACCCATTCAAACACAGCTTAATGAGGAAAAAAAAAAAAAGACAGGTGATGGAACCCGAAGAATCTGCATTTCTACCAAGCTCTCCAGTGATCACGACGCTGCCAGGTGGCGGACGTCACTCAGCATAGTGAAGTTTGGTGCAAGAAGGTGGTAGGACCTGACCCGGGCTCTCCTGGGCAGCAAGTCAAGTTCATTCTGGACTGGACAGCGGGAGCATGAAAAGAAATTTCCACCTCCTTCAAGGTTCTAAAACAGGAACACAATTCATTTCTCTCCAGTCAACCTTCAGTGATTACATTCCTAGTCGTGTCCTTACAAGAGGTCAATGGAATGAAGATAATAACGATGCTTGGGCTAATGGGCTTGGTAGAGTCTGACAGGGCTCTCCTTTAGACCCAGCCTGGCAGAGTGCCTCACCCGCGCTGGAGTCCTCCATACACATACCCAGTCTCCTGGCAATACTTTTCAAGCACCGCACTGTTTTCTTACTGTGATTTTGTTAGATGTGTAAGGATAGAAGATGACCACAAATTCAGCGCCTGTCACTCCTAAGGAGCAAAAGCAGGCAAGCCTGCACTCCAGGGACTGACCGCACGCTGAGTGCCTCTGAGAACACGGGAGCTGGGGAAGTGGGGGACCTGTAAAGAGCTCTGCCTTCCGCTCCCAGCCTCACACGATGAAGACACACTGCAGTCCTTTGGAAGCAAGGGACAAAGACCACATTCCGAAACGCCATAAAGCCTGGCAAAGAGTCTGCACTGCCGAAAACATGACTCAGGCCTACACCCAGCATCCTCCACCAGCGGAGCCCGGCAGAGCACCTGAGGGCGTCCACAGCGCTTCTCTTTACCCTAAAGAAGGAAGTTCCGAGCTGAGAGGCCTCTGAGCTCTGCGCAGTGAGACCCCCAGAGAGAAACTAACTTAATTAACCATTCCGAAGAACACAGGAGCATTCTCACCAGTCGCCAGGTCCTGAAACACCACATCTGCCATTTATCCCCAGCGCTGTCATTTCCTGCCTGCAGTGAACTAATTACACACAGTGGGAATTCTGGAGCTGCCGGTTTTAATGTTTATCTGCTGTTAACTTAGTGTGTGACCTCAAAGATATGTCTCTAGTGCTTTTATTCCCTCTGCTATAAAAGCAAGCTAAGGGAGAAACATGCTTGACAAAGTGCCCTAGCATAACACAGTAGTCGTCTCTGTCCTAGAGATGCGCATGGGATGGTAGTTAACATGTTTCTTTCACTAAGGCCTTTAAAGATAACTGATGACATGTTGTGAAAAGGCGTGGGATCTCAAAGGATAGTTCCTCTTTGCCTAGAACAGGTTTCAATGGCAAATGCCACCTCTAAAATTGTTGATAAAAGCAGTCTTGAATGTGCTTCTGAATAAATCATTCAGTTTCTTTCAGTAGGACATCTGTAGCCATAGCTCTAATAATATAACATGGCTTAAAAAGTAGAAAACATGCTAGACAAAGTCATGTTAGATTTCCATAACTCTAACATTTAGCACTGAAAGCTTAGTTTAAGTGAAAAAAAGATTGTACTTCCTCACCAATGAATAAATACTTTGAAACCACCTAAAACAATATTTTGGACACTTAATGACATAGTTTGTCCCATTGTGTAAGAAAAGCTGGCTCCAAAATATTCTATACACAAAACGATCAATATAATATGACACTGTAAATCTACATGGGCACAGGAAAAATGTTCAGTATGTGTAGCTGTTATATTCCGCATCTGCCCTTTTCTTATACATTTGAGGAAGACATACATTAAGGTTATAACCTGTATTAATCATGTATATATCATTAAGCTACTGTAGATCGCCCCAGTTTCTTGTATTTCATCTGTACAGAAGCTCTAAATGTTAAGATATTCACATTGGTTCCTCTTTTCTTTGTGAGTTATTCGTTAGCTTTAAACCATGAAAGATGACATTCCCTCAAAGGCATAAATGCATTATAGTTCCTGCTAGTTTTTCTACAATTTGATTTGCAATATTCTGAAGTTTATTTTTAAGATAGGGTATGTTTTCTGGGGTCTAAATTAATATCTTGTTATGTCCAAACCATTATTAAAATAATCCATTCCATAACTCCTCTTATCTAGCCACCTTATTCTGAAAACTTTAGGACCTGTGAGCTATGTGTAATTGGGAAATTATTTCTTCCAATTTACTTTTTAATATAAAATAAAAAACCTCAAAGCAAAATTCAAACATACATAATTTTTAGAGCAATCTCAGAGTATAAGCAAATCAAATCATCAAGTCATTTCAACTTCAGTAAGGAATCAGTCAGCCAAGCAATAATTCCTGTTTAAGATCACTGCTCATTCGGTCGATGACTCTGAGGCTGTAATTGCAGGGTTTGTAAGTATACAGTGGCTGAGTCACCAAGGATTGAATTTTCTGCTTTTTTCATGGGGAGGGGCTACTTCTTGGGTGGCAACATTATTTAAAGCCTAAAACAACTAGAAATAACACCCCGTGGACTAAAAAAAAAGAAGGAAAGAAATAAAAGCAGAAGAAGAATTCATTGTTTAATTTGGTCAAGATTTAGAACTATCATTTTCACTCTATTGATTTTTCCTCCAGATGTATTACAAACCTGCTCTCCACAATATGTACTATATAAATTTGTACTTGTTTTTAGGTTTTTAATGTCAGTATCTTGCTATTCCTATTAAAATCTAAATTCCTGTAAACCAAAGTTCATGTTTATTCAGGGAAGGAGACAGGAAGGATAAGACATAGTGGAGAGAAGGAAGGACAGAAGGGAGAGAGGGAGGGAGGAGAGGAGGGAGGAAAAGAGGAAGGACAAAGGGAGGGAGCAAAGAAGGGAGGGAGGGAGG